TTTTTCTTATAATATCCTTTCTAAAGCCTGTGATTTTATGTTCAAAGGTTTGAGTTCAAAGAGCTGGAAACCTACTATAAAACAATCGAAACCTGGTGAAGTTACCATTGATTGGGATCATTCCAAGCTGCCATCAAAGAACTATATTGTTGTGCCGTTGTATAACTCTACTGCGAAACAGGAACCATTCCTGTACATCATTGAACTCAGAGATGACACATCCATAGCAGTGGAATACCTTAAACCTGCTACTTCGTACTCGTTCAAAGTCATTGCTTTCGATACGACGGGGTCCTTTATCGAAAGCACTACATCGTCTATTATAATGAATAATGGTACGTGATACGTATCAACTGTACAAATTAGTTTACTCCACGGGAGGGACTCCCTCATAAAAAAAGGGCGTGGATCCTAGTAGGAAATTCTGAAAATGATCCCTAAAAGGGACCTGTATTGTGAGATGACGGGCGTGGCAGTGCTGAAATTTCACCTCTATAAGAGATACAAATCGATAACGGGTCATTTTGTTTTGGTTTCCCGATTTTATTTGAGATCAATCATCTTATTTGTAGGCATGGTTGTTGCTGATCTTATAATGACGTCTTAGGGTCGTCGTAGCCCTAAGGGGACTACAAAACTCAGTTGTTGGGAATTTTCGTCATTAATTATTTCCCTAAGCGGGACCAAAACAGTGATTTCAAACCCTAAGGGACGACGAAGACCCCAATCCACAGGGTTTATTCATCAGTTTATTCAATCTTGTTTTTTTTGTTCGATTGTATTTTCTTTGTACAGATCATTCAACATCGAAACTCTAATTTTTTGTATATGATTATGGCTTTGTTTGTTGTTTGTTGTTGTTGTTGTTGTTGTTGTTGTTGTTGTTGTTGTTGTTTTTGCTGTCTTCAGCGAGAATGTCAGACTTGGGGATAAATGGTTCCCTTCTATCGGATCTCCCATACTGACTAAGAATAATATATAACAATAGTTTGTGCGTTAGACAAGCTTCTTTCAYTTTTTCTACAGGCTCGGTAAGACTTATGGGTGGRACGCTATCCAACGAGGGAAGAGCTGAAGTATTCAAAGACGGTTTATGGAATAAGATATGCTTTAATGATGATCGGTGGAATCCAATTAGTGGCAATACTTTKTGTCGATCCTTGGGTCTGCCCGATCTATTTRAATTTGTGTATGATAGAGAATTTATTGGGACGTCATTACCAATGCATTTGCTAGAGTATAGTTGTAATGGAACTGAGRCAAGTATCGAAGAATGCAAAGATRCACRATCCGCYTGTAAAGATTACCGCCGGAGAAGATTATCTGGAGTAATATGTGGAAAGCAACCTGCTGGTAATCATAGTGTTTCAATACTAACATTTAACCCCTTTCCTACGGCCATCGGTACCACAAGAGTGATGACTCCAAAAATTATAATTTCCCAAAATGGCTAGATGCCTCTGAAAAACTTGCTCTTACAAGACAACAAGTTCAATATTCCAATTAAAAGTATGTCTCGGAAATCAAGTTTTTTGGTCGAATAAGTCTTTTGTCTTGACGTGGATGCTCAATTCCGAATTTTGCACTTTCTGGGACAACAGCGAAAAGCTCACTTTTTTGACTTAATTTGCAACGTGAAATTCATGCTTTTCTAGCACAATATCGACATTTTGGAAGAGCTACATCCTCCTATTCTTGCATTTAGGGATTTTTATTCGGAATAATTCTCTACAGGCAATACAAGAGCCGCCCCTTTGACATCCAACTCGACAATGCACGACCCAAGTGCACCTTGGGTATGCTGACATCTATGAGACAAGGAATGGCCAGTAATCTTACTTTAGTACTTTTTTTTATAAGTGCCAAGTCACTCGCACCTACAGGCAAAATATTGCATCGACTGCATTCTTTGGATGTTAAAACTTGCCAAATTTACCTTGGTAGGTTCCGAAATCTGACACAGAATGACTAGGGAAACGACCTTTCTCTAACGACAATAATTCAAAGAGACCTTCTGTTTGTTGCCGTCTTCTTCGAAAAATCGCTTTTCACCTCTGATTTCTTCCAGAAGTCCGTCTTTTCCGCCTAGTCGAGCTTAATGATGCAGTCCTAGGGGCTTCTATGGCAGCAAATGACTTAAAAAGTAAGAGTTACATACCGAGAACGGGGGCAATCAGCCTAATACATCCCGAGGGCCGTAGGCCCAAGGGATGTATAGACTGATTGCCGACGTTCGAGTTATGTAACTGGCTTATTTCATACTTGAAGAATTTTTCCAAGCACTGCATTAATATTTTCATTTTTAAATAGGCAAAGAAGGCGTTTTCATATGAATTAAAAACCAAACCCTCGATTAGAAAGATTACGAAATTTACAGTATTGAAAATTCCCAACGGGAATAATTTGCATAACCAATTTTCTCGTTAGTCCCATGAGACCAATGCTAACAATATACCTTTTGTAACAAGTAACTGGACAATGTTAAATAACTGTTTTATTCCATAACTGACATCGATTAGTCAGTTAGCATAACGTGTTAAGTATAGGATTTTCAAAGCTAAGGTTGTGGGTTCGAATCTACTTGGTGTCATTTGAATTTTTCTTTCTTTCTTTCAAGTTTAAAGTTTCAGACGGAAAATTTCTAAGTTGAACGTAGTAGTTAATTAGGTATTCAAGGGCAATATACATTAGTATTCAAGGGCAATATATAGATATTGCCCTCAAATGGGGGCGATATCTAGATATATCCCTGAAACTTCGATATAAAGCACTTGAATACACAACGAGCTGGGGAATAAGCGAGATACAACACTATGAATAACAAAGAAAACTGAATCAAGTATGAAATAA